GCCGGTATAAGGTGCGTTCAGACCGGGTGCCGGAGGGCGACGGCGAGGGAAGGGACAGCTGAGGGTGTTCGGTGCAAAATAAGCCATGAAAAAGGGGTGAAAAAGCCCAAAGTGGACGTTTCCTATTGCGAGCCGGGGAGATACCCGGGGCTGGGGGGTATGTCCCACCACCAAGACCATGCCAAGCCTCCGCAATCTGCACGCCCAACACTGGGAACGCTCTCAGAGCCAGGCCAGCTTCTCACTTCAGCTTATTTTACCCGAAAAACCTTTGCTGAAAGGCTGTTGGGGCTGAAGAGCATCCCACCCTCCGGAGCTCCACCAAGCCCCTCAAGAGGAGCCGACTGAAGCAGGGGGAGACACCTCCATCTCCCATCGGGACCTGGGCATCTGCCCACACGCAGGGATGCGGAGCGGAAAAATGAGCAGCGAGCAAAACTGGAAGGAGCTGAGCTGCGCCCAAGCTGAAAGGTGGGTTCGGGGCATGGGTGACACCACCCCGGGGTTGTCCCCTGGCAGTCCCCTGGCCGGCTCGGGGACCAGCCAACAGACACATCTCCCAGGAGGGACTCCAAACTCCTCGCTGGCACCTTTTGCTGCAACCTGGTCCTCATTATTTCTTAATTAACATAGCCAAGAAATCAATTAACCGCGACATCTCTAATTAAATACTACAGGAGATGATCATCTCCTTCTTATTATCTGCTGAGGTGAACAACTTGATGTGTGTGGTGAGTTCCTCGCTCCCCATCTCTTCCACTTCCCCAATTACTGGAAGTAAGAAATGCAAACGGTTGGGTTGTCCTCGTGAACCGGAGGATCCTTTCTTTACATTAGGGAAGTCGAAGAGATTAATTAGCTATTAAGTGAACGCGCATAACGTTATCGTTAGCTGCCGCGCGTAGTCTTCGCTGGCACAATCCGCTGCCCTAACGAACAGTCCTAACGTGCCACCGCCTTCCCAGCTCCGCGCTTTTCACTCCTAACGCTGGAGGAAGGGTTGAGCGCGGTGTTCCGGTGGTCCCACCACAGATGGTGGCAACCACGCTGAGCCAGGGCTGGACCTGCTGCGCGAGGGAGCCCGACCTTGAGCCGCCGGCGAGCGAAACGGCGTTTTGAGATCCGTAAGGGTCAGGTTTTGCACCCGCTGAGCCTTTTTGCTGGTCTCAAATAAAAACGCATCTCGTCACCCCCTGCTTTGGGATGGTGGTGGCTGGAAAGCTGAAGAGCATCGGCTGGCTTCAGCGTCTCAGCGTGGGGACACCGTGGTCTCCTCTGACCCAAGAGGTTGGGACCATGGGGCCACCAGAACATGCTCCTCGTCCTGCTGGCCACCGAGCTGGGGACAGCGAGGGGAAGGGCAGCAGGGATGGGTCTGCACCAGCCTGGCCATCCAGGGGAAGGGGACGTGAGCGGGTTTGGGAGATGTGGGGTCGAGTCCTCGGCTCTCCAACCTCTTCAGCACCACTGCCGTGAGCGCTACCTCGCAATGCGAGACCCGCAGGTGCTTTTGGAAGAGGGTGGAAAGGGGGATCCAGACCTCATGAGGTGGTGGCTCTCCCTTCCCAGCTCCAAGCAGGAGCATCTTCCCAGGGCTTTGGAGGGAGAGGGGGGCACAACATTTTGAGTTGCATTTGAGCAAAATTTGAGAGCAAACATTGCTGCCAACCTGCCAAAGGCTGCGATCAGCTCTTGGAGATGAACACCGGCGAACGCCTGACTCAGGACCTCGGGATGTATTTATTTCTCGGCACGAACTCCGCCGAGTTGACTGAGACCCATTTTCATGACACATGAAGCGAAACAAGTTTGACGGGGTTTGTACGGGGAGACGATAACTCCAGACTCATTTAGCCCGTTTGATTGTCACTTGCTCGACTGTGCAGCTGCTTTTGAGCCGAGCCATCATCTCACAGCGCAGTTCCTCTGCCATCCCTCAAGCTGGTCCTCGTCCCTTCGGGCAGGATCAGGCCCTCACACGTCGCGTGGCTCGTCAAGCCCCAAGTCTCTTCTCCTCCAGACCGACATGGTTTTTATTGAGCGTCACTGGATTAACGCGACCGGCATCCCCTGCTAATTAACGACCTGCGCAGCCGAAACTCTGCAGGTGATGCGTGTGCGGGGAAAGCATCCGTACTCACTTCCCATCACGGAGAAAACTGGGAATTGGTTCTTTCCCAAGGCAGAGCTTGCTCAATCTGTGCTTTTCCTCGGGTGTCCCCTACAGAGCGAGCAAAGCCCCGACTCCTTCTCTCCGCTGCGAATTCCTCGCTCCATCTGCGGGTCCGGCAGGTAGCCGGAGCTCACAGCCACCGTAACCTTTGATCACGATGCAAAACCACATCACCACCTCCTTCCCTGCTCCACCTCACCGAAAACCACCGAAAAAAAGCCTGGGATGAAGGAGCTTTGCAGCAGAACGGTTCAGGCAGCGACAAAACCCACCGGGGAAGGGGAAACGATCCACCCAGACAGGCGCCGGAGCCAGGAGGCTTCTCCCTGTCAACACAAGAGGCTGTTTCTGTCTCAGCCTCGCATTTCCATTCAGGAGGAGGAAGAAGGCAAGTTGTGCCTCCATGCAACACGACGCGGCTCGGCTCCTAACTCTGCGGGCTCGGCGGAGCCGTAAACTGGAGTTTTAGGCTCAGGGTAGCTTTTTCCCCACTGCACACAGATGTGGATGTGTGTGCAAGGGGGGGTACCTGTAACCTCAGCACCCGACAACGGTCCTCGCCTCCTCCCACACCCCACAGCAACGGAAAGGGCTCGGTTTTAGGCAGGCAGCTCGTCCCAGCTGGCTCTCCGAAGCTTTGTCGCTGCCGTTCCCATCGGCAGGCTGCTGTTCGGGGATCACCAGCATCCCCGCTGCTCTCCCTCTTCCGCTGCCGTGGGGAGTTACTCACCCCCAGGCTCTGATCCTGCGAGGCCCGTAGGACAGACGCCCATGAAAATGTCCATAGGACAAGATGTCACCTGCCTGCAGCCTCTCCAAATCCCACCCGGAGTGGATGGGGTGGCCTCGTGTCCTCCGGAGCGTACATTCATCTCATCTAGTGCATTAGAGGAACTTTACTGGGTCACATTCAGCTGTCCCTCACCCTGGTGTAAAACCAGAATAGCTCCATGAGTGTAACTGGACCCACTCTGCGTTTCCACCAGTGTCAGGGACCAGGAGGTGGCCCATCAACAGCAGCTATGGAGACCTTGGATCTGGCCTCTCCTCCCCTGCACGCTGGTGTGTAAATTCAACAAATTTATTTGTTATGTGCAATTATTCCTGATTTACACGAGCGCAAGGACAGAATCAGTCTTCCTGAGCTGGCCCAACCATTGCATGACTCCAGTTCCTACTGGTCTGACTCCAGCGGGGAGGGAGAGCAGCCAGTGGTGGAGGAGCACACGGCGGGGCTCGGGCCTCCTGATTCCAAGCATTGCAATAAATCCTTTGAATACATTCTGTGTCAGTGGCGATTTGGTTTCCCCTGCTCCCCCCACCCTCCCCAAGACCCCCAACAAATTGGCATTTGAAGGATGACAGCCTGTGTGTTCAGCTGGGCCACCACCACCACGGCTCCACCCCCTGATGCAGATCTTGCTGTCGGCATGGTGTTCTGCTGGTGACCATGTTCAAAATCTGCATTAAGTCCTCTGGTCCTCAGGGAGTCGCTTGGGGTTTACCCTTGGGTGCAAGATACCAGAAAGTCAAATTATGGCCCCAATCTCCAGTGAGGGCAGGATTCGGTGCCGTGCTGGGGGGAGTTGCACCCACCTCAATTTAAGCACCCTGAAGTGGGGCAGTTGAAAAGGCAGACAGACAGCCAGCCATTCCCAGAGGGCAGCTCACCCCTCTGAGGCTGCAGTCTCACAAAGCCATTGGCTTGGCATGGCTGCCACGCGAAGCCATCCTGCCCACCGGTTTCTGCTTTGGGTCCTCCTCTACACCGGCACAAGGCTTTGGGCAGCACTGGCTTTTCTGGCTGAAAGCGTTGCAAGGAGAAGGAGAGGGAGAGGGGTAAGGAGATGGAGATGGAGAAGAAGAAGAGGGAGAAGGAGAAGGAGAGGGAGAAAGAAGGAGAAGGTGAGGAAGAAGGATAAGAAGAAGAAGGAGAAGGAAGGGAAGGGAAGGGAAGGGAAGGGAAGGGAAGGGAAGGGAAGGGAAGGGAAGGGAAGGGAAGAGAAGAGAAGAGAAGAGAAGAGAAGAGAAGAGAAGAGAAGAGAAGAGAAGAGAAGAGAAGAGAAGAGAAGAGAAGAGAAGAGAAGAGAAGAGAAGAGAAGAGAAGAGAAGAGAAGAGAAGAGAAGAGAAGAGAAGAGAAGAGAAGAGAAGAGAAGAGAAGAGAAGAGAAGAGAAGAGAAGAGAAGAGAAGAGAAGAGAAGAGAAGAGAAGAGAAGAGAAGAGAAGAGAAGAGAAGAGAAGAGAAGAGAAGAGAAGAGAAGAGAAGAGAAGAGAAAAGTGAAGAGAAGAGAAGAGAAGAGAAGAGAAGAGAAGAGAAGAGAAGAGAAGAGAAGAGAAGAGAAGAGAAGAGAAGAGAAGAGAAGAGAAGAAGAGAAAAGTGAAGAGAAGAAGAGCGAAGCAAATTCCAGTTGGAAGGGACCTACAACGATCATCTAGTCCAACTGCCCAACCACTTCAGGGCTGACCAAAAGGTAAAGCATACCATGTCCTCAGCCAACTAGCTTAGCAAAGTATGGCTTAGCCAATTAGCTTAGATTAACAACCTTACTTTTAGAGGTTCTACATTAGGCGGGATAAATTCCATCTTCCACGTCTGTGCAAAGGAGAAGAGCAGATCAATCATACTTTTGCTATAAGATCCCTTCCTACTCAATGCAGGGTACGCTGGCTTTCCAGTATCTTGAACCCTGGGCAAACGCCCTTGCAGATCCACCCGGCGGTAGGCTCCTGTGGCACCAAGCCTTGCAAGTGCAGTGGATGGCAAGATGCCACCAGGACCGTCGGCAGAGGAAGGAGGGAGGGATGGAGGGTGCACAGGCTATGACCTTCGTTGTGCTAATGGAGCGTTCCACGTCGAACCATGGAAGGTTGCTTTTGCGCATGATCCCTGGGGCAGGATCGGCATGAAACCGATACCGGACACTTCTCAAACACCCTACCAAGCGCTTCAAGTTCAGGCACCCGTTGCTCTCTACAGAATTATTTTTGTGCAGCATCAGTGTGGAGATTTAATTTGTGTCGAAAACAAAATTTTCTCGGTGAAGGCTACTTTCATGAAGTTAGGTATAACCATGTAAACACGCCGTTAAACATCCCTCCATGCAGTGCTATTAAGTTCTGAGATTATTGTTTAGCTAGTTCTCTAAAGTGTCTGAATGTAATTTTTTTTTTTTGTTGCTGCTCCTGTGCTAATTTAAAACTTTTAATATTAATCTTATTGACTGGTGTGAGGTGTCAGTTCTCTGCAAGTGTTAATTTACTCCCGGTTCGCCAGGAGCGGTAATATGTTACTATCGCTGAGCTCTATTATTTGTTTTCTCTTGTTGTTGTTTTCTTTTTCCCAGTCGGGATCTCAAGTTTCCCCCTTTCCCTCCCCAGGTCTTCTGGGCTGAGACTGTCCGCTTCCACTTACAATCCCTTATTGTAGACTACAGTCTTACTGGTGGTGGCCATTGCGATTTCTGGCTCCAGCCGAGACGTCTCGATCTGTGAAATCAAAGAGGAGGCAAGATCAGAAGGGGCATCGCGTTGCTGTGCTGCAGCAGGAGCTCGATAGATCAATAAATTAATATGGAGAAGCATAATACGTAAATAACACAATGTCAGTCATGCCTTGTCCGTGTCATTTTAAGGTGCTTTACTCTGCTCAAGCCTCAAAACATCCCTGTTGGGCCTGACTTCTCTTACGTGAAACAACGCACGCCCTCTGCTTTGCAATACTCCATGAACTTCAGAGTGTCCCTGAGAACCAAACGGGTCCCACCCAGCGTTATCCAGGAGAGTTCTCCTCCTTCTCCCCAAGGTCCCCTCGCATGGTGCTAGAAGGAATCCAGCCCTTGAAGCTGTGGTTTGCACCCGTAGGGACCCGGCAAAGCCACAGGCTGCCTGGTGACACGAGGGGACAACACACCCTCATTTCTCTCCTGGACCAGGGCTCCAGATCCTCCATCGAGGACGGATCACAGCTAAAATCTATGTACCCCTTCCTCCGTCTCCATAAAATCTCCAGCCCTTTCCTAATTTTTTCCTCTTGCTGGCTTGGCGCGAAGCTTTCCCTTGCTCTGAAATCACTCTGAACGCGTGCATCCCTGGGAGGGATCCGTGGTGCTCCCGGTTCCCGCGGCGAGCAAGGATCCCGCTCCCGAGCGGGACAGGGCACCTTGCAAGACCAGAATTTCAGAAATCCTATACATTGAACCAACGCTGTTGCTGACACAATGCTAGGAACCCACGTTAAAATCGAAATGCTTTTGAAAATGTTTAACCTAGTTAGACAAATTAGCAAAAATTTGTGCAAAACAATTTAGGTATTTAAAATATTCAATGTTTTTAAAAACTGGAAAAACTGTTCTTAGCTTTCAGCTGCAAAAACCCAACAAAATATAACATCAAAGCAATCTTAACATGAGGTGCAACATAACCCTTCAGCAAAGCTGTTAAACAGCTACTGAAGCATCATGGGAAATAGCACTTCATTTATTCAAATGCACATATGTCAGGTTTTTGCACCATATGTCATTCCAAGCTATTTACAGTAATAATTAAATCTTAATCAACGTTTAACCTCTGTAAAATGTTTGAAGGGATCTAATCACCCTTCAGACTGCACTAATGAAGGAGAAATATATAAACATAAAAAGAAAATGATGCATAGATAGCACACCAGAAAGAACAGTAATTGCAAAATTGTATTTCTTTTAAATATAATCAGCAAATTATGTAAAGTAAGCCAACGAGTATTTTAAGTGAAGACATCTTGGGTGTCAGAGGTGTGATCAGCTAATTTTGTACTGCTATCCATAACAGATGTAGCATATTTTCTTTTAGTGCCATTATTAGCAACTTCACCACTTCTTTCTGCGCTGAAACACAAAGTGAAGCATTGTGCTGGGGAGAGGACCCAGCAAAGGTGCAGGAGAGGCGATTCTCACGTACACCGGCACTGGTGGGATCCATTTTGAGGGAGGATTAACTCCAATCTGCCTGGCTCTGACGCAGCTTTTCTTCCTATTGTTTTCTTATTTTTCTTCCAGAGACAGAAAGAAAAGCTCCGAGGCATCGGGGCTGGGTGGTTTCACCCAGCGGTGTGAAAATATCAAGGTGGGAAGTGCTTTAAAATGACCTGGAATTGGGCGGTCCAACCCTGACCATCCATGCTGGCGTTGGGACAGCTTGGGCAGAGCAAAACCCAACTCACTACTGGGAAGTCTCCACAGAAAGCTCACGGAGAGCCACCACAATTCCTTCCTCTCCAATGGGGGCTGGAGAGGTGGGAGCTCCAAGGAAAGTCACATCTGCCTTGGTGGACCCAGACTATTGGTCTGAAAGCAAGACCTAGGGGGAAACATTGAGGACTTGGATGTGCTGAGTCTAGAAGAGAGGACTTCAGGGGAGGCATGGTGGTATTTGCGTGTGCAAGAAGCTACAGCACAGAAGAAAGGAGTAATGTTTTCTTCACGCTCTCTTGGGACACAATTCAAAAAGCATCGAGTCAGATCCAAGCTGAACAGCAGGAAGAGTATCCTAGTGGGAAGGAGCAAAGTATTGCAACCAAATGCTTGGGGAAGGTGTGGTGTCTCTGTGGTGGAAAGTTTTCAGCACAAATTAGATGAAACCCATCAAGAACAGTTTAAGCAGAATTGAGTTTGTCTTGGTGGAAGAAGACAGATGAGATAAATGCTTCTAGGTCCTTTCAGCTTCCTTCCAACAGGTCCAGGAGGGAAACGGCCTCCTTTCCCTGCATGGCTGAGTTCTTCATTCATGGCAAGGCTGTACACAAGGCTGTTAGATGGGATGGCGTGAGGAGGGACAGGACTCAGATGGGACAGTTCAGAGACAGATTATGGCGTCTGAGCAGAAGGACAAGGGAATGAATGTTTAATGTGAGATGGACACATGGTAAGGGCCTCCTTTGGAGATCTTGAAAGAACACACAATTGGCCACAGGCATTGGTTTGGAGCTGCGTACTACTGAGCTCAAGCCCTTTTCTGAAGCCTGGGAAGATGTGAAATAAATTTGCTGGGCGGTGACTGGTTGAACTGGAGCAATCTCTGCAGATTTCCTTCTGGCTGACGTTAATAAAGCAGATATGAAAAACTGCTCTAGAGCCTCAGCTACAGGAGCTCCAAGGGTACAGGTACAGGAGGGACGTACTCCACAGCAACCCGGGCAAATGCATCGGGAATAACTTACCCCTCTCACTGGGGAAATCAAACGCAGAAGAACGTGGAGAAGCATTTAGGGGACCTAATAAATGCTTATAAATATCTGAAGGGTGGGTGTCAGGAGGATGGGGCCAAGCTCTTTTCAGTGGTGCCCAGTGACAGGACAAGGGGCAATGGGCACAAACGGAGGCACAGGAAGTTCCATCTGCACATAGGCTGTGGAGTCTCCTTCTCTGGAGATATTCAAGACCCGCCTGGACAAGGTCCTGTGCAGCCTGCTCTGGGTGACCCTGCTTGGGCAGGGGGTTGGGCTGGGTGACCCCCAGAGGTCCCTTCCAACCCCTACTATTCTGCGATTCTGTGATTCTGTGGTGGGCTCCACATATTAAGACAACACTAAGACACAACCTTGTTGTGTACCAGTTCAGTCTTTGAATCCCTCAGGGATTTTTGTTGGAAAGTGTAATTTCACCTGTTTTGGTTTAGACTGCTCTTCTACCTGTCCAGCATCCAGGACCTGCTTGGCCAGCCTTCCACTGGACATGGCACTGTGAAATGGATCTGGAGACCAGAGTTACTTGTCAAGTTTCTTGCGTCTCAGCTTCACAGACTCCCAGCAAGGTCTTTCTTGGCCATGGCCATGACAGGAACACCTCTAACAGGGACCACCTGCCATGGAGTGTGCTCTGTAGACCAGGTTCTATCCTGTTGGGACTACACTGATGGGACCTGCCCCACTCCATACAGGGCTACTTTGTCCTTCCAAACTGAATGCCCATCATGGGACTGGGTTTGAATTGTGTCCATCCTCTTCCTCCCAGTGAGGTAGATCTACCTGTGCCGGGGCAAAGGATGGACTCCTGGCTCCGGGATGATAGCCCTAAGGTACCTACCAGAAGAGGGCCTTCAACAATGAAGCCAGGGGAAGAGAAGCCTGGGAGGGACGCAAGCTCACAACAGCACTGAGGGAACTGTGGCACAAAAACATCGCTTCCAGAAAGTGCTACAAGAGGCTGGTTTGGAAAAAAAAAAAGAGTAGACTTTCAGGCTGATGGCTGCATGAGCATCAGCGCAGCGTTGACCGCTCGGTATCCTGACATGCCAGCATGCGAGACACTACAACCAGGCAGCGGGAGAAGGAGGAACTGCTTCACCACCCCGTGAGGCTACTGGAAGCTTTGCTATAGATGCAAGGAGATCCTCTCTGGGGACACAGCCAAGGTGCATCTCCAAACTCACCCAGAAACGTGGCCAGTGCCAGGCACAGCCCGTCACAACACCCAGGAGCCGGCGCGGCTCGAGGACGCTCCTCTTCCCTCTAGCAGATAACTAAGCTCATGAAGAAAAAAAGGGAAAACCCCAAGAAACGGCGTCCTCTGACCTTATTCAAGCAACTGTTTATAAACCAGCGTCACCCAGGTAATGGAGGCGGGATGGCAGCGCTGGCTTTTTAGCGGCGCTCCTGACCCGGTGAAATCTATCCCCGCCGGGGAACAAAGCCGCCGTGAAGGGAATCGCCTCTCGCAGTGCCCGCCGCGCGCCAGCTCTCTTCCCCCCGTCTCTGCCTTGCGGTGGAAGCCTCTCTCCTCTCATCAGCACAGACAAGGCTAATTGGGGTGATAAAGAACTGGCTCCGAGTGCTGGCGTGGGCTGGAGGAACAAATGGTGCGGTGGTCACAGCTGGTGCTGCGGAGACGGAGAGGGAGAGGGTGTGAGGCAGGCTCCCGGCGCCCAAACTTTCGTCAGCCCATGTTGGATGCGGGGCGGCGAGGTGGGGGGTTGTGTGTGTTTTGCATTCGCTGCTGACACGGGTGTAGCGTACATGCGCGTCCGGTGAAGCAGAAGCAGGCAGAAAGCAGATGCTTTTTGTTTGGGGTTGATACTCATTTCTATCCCAGCTCGGGAAAAGGTGTAGAAAGGAATGTGCTCCTAAGAGTGGAGGGAGAGAGATAGGTCTAGGCTGGCTGCCAGGGATCCTGTAATGATATGGAAGGCAGCTAGGGGAGACAGGAGCAGATGGATTTGGCATACAGCTCATCACTCAGCCAAAAAAAGGGAAGGAGGGGGGGAGGAGGAGGAAGAAAGCAGCCAGTTTTGGTAGGGGGAGGGTCATGCGGACTGACGGATGCTGCTCCGGGAGGTGGGGGAAGGGAGGATCGGGCTGGTCACCGCGTCTTCTGCTGCTGCCTCGGCAGTGCCAGCGAAGTGGCTCGGTGGTGGCCCCGGTTCAGAGCCCATGAGGGCTCTCCTGGCCCTTCCAGCTCCTCCTGCGCTATCAGACATCAGGGCAACGGCCAACGGCAGTGCCAAGCTAACCGACC